AGTTGGGAACTTACCAAGGTTCCCAGAAAGTAAGGCACTAGCCAGCTTAGGATTATTCTGACTGAGCAATGCCAGCTGATCAGGGTTAGCTAAGAACATATCTCTGATTATTTCTGGATCATCCTCCTTCCTGGTGTTTTGCATTCTTGCTATAGCACTTGAGCTGGGTGCTGGGAGCTGCTGACTGTTGGATGCTCCTGGTACTCTGATGGTACTGAAGTCCAACATGGGAATAGCTAGAGTAACGTATCTTTCAATTTAGTACATTCTCTTCTTTACTATGACAGATGTGCTTTTATAGCTAAACCCACCAACTATTCTCATAAAATCAAACTAGCAACCGGACAAGCATGTGCAGACTGACAAAACCAGAAACAAAGGGAAGACAGAAACGAAAAAAAAGCCTAGTCTAGAGAAGGGAATCTAATCTAGAGCATGCTCTGCATGTAGACATGGTTGGAATTCGTTTCACTGGGATCGTGCTGTGTACGAATTAAGTCACAGAGCTCTGAGTTCACAGGGAAGGTGAAGAAAAAACGTAAATCGAAGCCGAAAAAGCTAACCTCACGACCAACCCGCCTCGAACCATCGCCACTTTAAATAATGGTGCTGTGTATTGGAAGCTGACCTCCGTTAAGCGGGTGAAGGTTCAATTCCGCTGCGCTGTGGTGCATGTGCTGCAAAATCACCACGTCACCGTCCCTGATCCCGTGATCCTTCAGCGATTTCTTGTCGTTCATCAATGGCAGCCCATTGAACGCGATCACCATCTCGTGGACGGACACGTTGCACTCGATCTCGCATAGCGCCTTGAAACTCTCCAACTCCATGTCCTCAATGACGTCCAGGACGAAAATGTCGTCGCTGAGCATGGTTACCGTTACCTTCATGCTGCTCGCTGTTCCGCGCGGATCTGACGATGATACGATACTAACGGGGGCCCCCGATATGCACACGCGATATTTCACACGAGAAATTTGTCGCCGCTCCCCTCGCACACGGTATGGCCGTACGAAGAGCGGCTACGGGATGTAAACAACAACCCAGCTCAGCGAAAATACTGTCTGGCCTCGAGGCATAACCTGAAGCCCACTTATCAAGCCTCGAGATATCGAGCTCACCTTGTGTAAGAATTCGCGATCATGATTCCTATCGCAGATAGTTTCAGGTTAGGTCCGTTTCCCGCCATTTTTTCGAAGTATCAAATTTCACTTGTAACCTCAATGACACATTTTACGGATTCAATTTTAATAGGTTAAATGGTATTTGCATTTGGTGAACATAAATAATAGTTTTGGTGATGGATTATATATATATAGAAGATAAAGAGATCTGGAAGAGATTTTTATTATGGTGCGAATATTATTCTAAAACTTTTGGTTAAAGGGCTTCAATCTTGTTTTCCTTTTTTTGAGAATTTAGCATAGTTTACGTAAACCAAAATGGAGGATTACCATTGAAATATTATCTTATTGGGTTCTCATAGAATTTCTTAATAGAAATAAAGACTTTTTTCTATTATTTCGCTCAAAAAATTCGTTTAGGGTACTCTACAATTTCTTTTTGTACGGGAAATTTTTATTTCTGTTTGTATTCTTCATCATTTATGGATAATGTAGAATCCTATTGTGTATTTTAGTCAATAGAGGGCAGTAAAGTGGACTACTCTAAGGTTTTTCTACGATTGATATTAAAAAGTTGTCTTTTTCCCACTTTATCCCAGAAACAACTTCACAGATGCCAAAATCTTTTTGCTTGCATAATCCTGGTTCAGGCAAATCTCGTTAGATCATAACAATGAGGATAAATAGGGGAGGATTTATAGATTTTGCTATCAATGATCAGTGGTACACCCTATGCATGGACAATTTCGGAATTAAACGTCCCATACAGCGTACTCAGATGGATCGAGAGATAGCTTTATTTCCCTGGGTCAATGGCGATAATTTCCAACTCCTGTTCAAGGAAATTATATGCATTTATGTGCGAACATTTATCTCGCATCACCATATGCATATTCATGGCGTATGCATATGCCTGAATTATTTTTGGTAGAAGACAGATATCTTGGACACTAATCACGTGCTTCTGATCTCTTTATATAAATAATGTAAGTAGGAGTATTAATTATCTCGAGTATTGGATATATGCTTAAAATTGGTTCCCATGCCTTATTTTTTTGAATTGTGCGAATGAGTTGCTGATCTTTTTTATTTGTTTCCATTAAGTGTACACTTTAAATAAGAAACATAGCTTGTTTCAATTATTTCTAGGTACTTTATACCTGTGTTAAAATTAATTCTAGATGCACCAAATTTTCTTAACCTATTCTAAATTGTCGTCCAAATCTTCCACTTTAATTTTACAGTGAAATGTACACTCTGGGTAGAAAATTCGTCATTATTGGAAGGTCTTATGATAATCGATCGATTATACGAACAAAAAAGAAAAAAACGAAGGGTGCACTGAAGCATGGAAAATTCAAGGGATCTGTCCCCTGAGGGGCACGACCACGAGGACACCGCAGGGGGCACCATTCCCCATACACCGGAAACGGATACAGAGGTGCATATTAGACAGGTGGCATGGAATTTCGCGCAGGACAGGCTGATGGTTAAATTAGCCCACGATTTCGACGGCTCGCTCGATTACACTCGTAACCGGATGTTCCGGGATAAACATTGAGCAAGGTGTGCCCACAGCAACATTGTACAATTTTATTCCTGTGTAATTGTGGACATTTTTGAACTAATAAAAAATACTTTTAAAAAAAGAATCTCGTCGTTTTTAAAATTAAAGTTGCTTTAATTTATCTGACTTGGTTAGGTTAGGTTCATGATATTCTTCTGACGCTTTTAAAAATTCGAATCGATATTTTTTAGGCTCTGATACTTATCCAATGTTTTTGAAAATTACAATTTACCTTCACTCTTCGTATTTTGTTTATTTTAGTTAGATTAGGTTAGGTAATTCATGATATTCTTCTGACACTTTTAAAAAGTTAGAATCTATATTTTCTAGTATCTAATACTTGTCCAATGTTTTCAAAAGTCACAATGTACCTACACTCTTCGTGTTTTGTTTATATTGAAATTTTTTTTGTCAAGATGAAAATCTTTAATTTGAATCTTTTTCTTTTGGAGGGAGGACTGAAATGAGCAAATATTGAAGCTTTCCCCGTGAAGATGCCATTACACGGTACAACAGCCTCCTGGAGGGGCTAGGAATAGATTAAAAATGGAAGGTGAATCGAGAATGGGCATAAATCGATTTCACACTCCCGCGGAGTATAAATTAATAGACACTTAGGGGGGTTTGGGTATGTTTCGAGTGGCTACCAGGATGTTCACGGGGTTGTACCCGCTACCAGGTGTTGGACATGGGTTCCCGGGTGCAAGGATGTGCCATGGAAAATCGGTTAGGCACGGGGAGAGCCTCCTGTCGAGGGAGGATCCACTTCCATGAACTCTAACCTCTTTTTTCTCATGGAAACAATTTTTCACGTAATTTTAAATATATCTGGAGTATATTAAAAAAAAAAAAAATACAATTGAAAAGAAGAATAAAATTGTAAAAGTGTGCAATTAAAATTCTACCGCGTTATATGTGAAAATATTAATTTGCAAGATGAAACAACAATTGAATATATATAATGTTCTTTTCTTTTTCTTTTTGTAATGGATAGAATTTTTTTCCTCGTCGATTCTAAACTGCAAATCAAATCTGAGGCACACGTGTCAGCGGATTTGCCATTTAAATTCGAACCCCTACAGTTATCTCTCGATCTCGAGGATCAAAAATCCCAACTGTACAATGGACCTGTCCCGTTCCCATATTTTTCTTTCGGATTATAGAGATTCGTACAGACACTGCGGTTTACGATTCGATTTTTGCACTACGAAACAGCGCACCTGCCTCTACGAACATCGACAAATTTATTCTCAATTTTTTATAAATTCATCTCGACAATTCGTTTTTCTATTATAACCGAAAATGACGATCGTGGGAAAGGAAACAAATCGTTTCCTTGATTTGCTACTAGAACGAAGCGGCAGATGGGCAACATAATTCATCGTGATACCCTCTTAATTTCTAGTGTGTTAATTGTCCAGGTTAGACGTTAAATGAGTTTTGTGGGAAATCGATAACGGGCCATACTTTATGTCTGGTCGGCGCGTCAAAGAAAATTTTCCGATGCACTTTTCCCAGGCGAAAATTTACCGTACTTTTCCTCCAAGCATCTCCAAAAAGTCCTCCTTATTCTGCACAATTTTTCCAATTTTTTATCTAAAAAAAAAATGCTCGTTAAAACGTTCAGAAGTATTGAAAGGAAATTCTTCTACAGTATACGCAGAATTTTGTCTAATTTTCTCGGAGGTTCCCACAGTGTCTTCTCGCGACAATGTTTAACTTCCCCCCTCGTTTCAACGATAAGTTAATCTTTGCACAATATTTCTGCACAAAAATGAATTTCTTCTCCCGAGTCCAACCCAAAAAAATTCCCCTTTCTCGTTACCTCGAGTTTTCCACTATTTTCTCGAACAAGAACGATACGTATTTGTTATCTATTCAATTTTCCACGGCTCACCGGAAGTAAAGGGGCGTCTGAGGCAGCCACGCTTCACGGTTGCTCGTAAAAAAGAGCATCTTGGTGAATGGAAGGTGTAAGAGAGAAGGAAATTGAGGACGCGTGGCCTGCACGTGCACGAAAAACACCGTGCAAGGGTTTACACTCGAGGGTTAACCGCTTCTGCGACATTTGGCCTCGCCGGGGCAACGTGTAATTATGCGCTCTGTAACAGGTCCGATGTGATTTCTGGCATATTATTAACCCACCGCTGGGCAATATTATTTAATAGACCTGGTTGGTCCAACAATATGTTCACTGGCACTTTCTCTCACGTGACAACACATTTTCAAGCCTTGCACAGTACCTACCTACTTTATGGCGGACAAATATGAACTTATAAAATATAAATTTATCAAATGTATTCAATTTTCGGATTAATTTTTAGTTCAATATGTTACACGGATGAAAACGATTTTATCAGCTATTCCAGTGGAATAAAAGTGTTTAATTTTTGTTTAAAAATTAATGTTTCTACTTGTAGTTTCATGTTACATGCATCTTTGTAGATTACGATTATTTATCCAATTGTCAAAATTTGCAAAATACACGAGAATAACTTACTCATTGTCTACGGATTTGTTTCTTTTGTAGCTCGAGAGACTCTAGTGTATTTTTCTTATTTTGATATTTATAACTGTACGAACATTCGCAGTCTAGTCATTAGCGAGCATGTTACATTATCGGTATCTGTGGAATTATACGTAATATTAGGTGACAAGGGAGAATAGGGGAATTACGAACACCTAAGGAAAAAATATTACAAAGGTAATAACTTTTTTATCGTTCATATACAAACACATATTATCTGTTTATATATTTTTATAATCAACTTCAACAAAATTGAAAAATAAAACCAATTTTTAATAGAAAAACCAAACGCGATTCCCTAATTGTCGTGCGGTAATCACGAATACTACTTGTTTTTTTACAAAAATCGCATAAATAGCCTCTAGATGTGATCTGTCCATCGCGTACCCATTCGCAGCAATCGAAACACATAATCCATTAGCATGAAACATCAGAATTAAGATAATTATACATGCAAACGCTATACTTACTTTACTTTCTTCAAAAAATTAGACGAAGTCGAGCAAGAGTCTTCAATAATTTTCACTTCGATCAGTGTCAACTGTTTTGCATTGGTGGCCTAGCACTGCATTCGGTACGAGCGATCATTTGGCAAAAGGAGGAATTGTTCATGCTTTTCTAACACCATATGTATATATGCGAATTCGCAATTACCCCACGTTCGTGTTTCCCCGACTCTCCCCTATAGTCCAACATTTTTCCATCAATTTTTCTACAACTATCTTAGAGTCTACAAAAATGTGTTCCTTCAAATTTCTATTAGTCTTATACTTTTCTCAATTTTCACCGATTTCGCACCTCTTCTTCCCAATTTTATCCGAGTTAATTCCTTCTCTCCTACAATCACCGAATCCCACATTCATCGAATTTCTTCCCCTTGAAAAACATCCCAACTAAATTGTCTTTTTTCATTCCATATCAGAGCGCGAAATTTGACTGGAAAGTCCATTGAACACACGTTACAGTCTTCGTGACATTTCCACGAGGTGTCTCCTCCGCAATCGAGAGTTTCCGGTGTTCCGTGCCAGATCAATGAAGAGGCGTAACCAGCAACCCAGCAACCAGGTTTAGCCAGGCTCCACCGCTATTCACCTCGACGAATGGGGTTGTGTCTGTGGCTTCAACCCCTCCGATGGCTCCCGCCTTCCTCCCGCTTTTCCCTTTCAGTTCAGCCAGACCACCTGAAGTCCAGTCTCATCCGTGATCACCCAGTCTCACTTCGACTCTCCGACACAGTTTAACCTTTCACAGAAAATCCACACAAATCACTGTCTCGATGGTTTCACGAAACCGAGAAAAATCCTCGAAACAACACTCCTCGTAAATTGGCTTAAACAGTGCTCTTGCAAGCAAGTTCTGTGACAGTGACGAGTGTCGAAGGTGGAATTATTGGTCGGAATGGTAACCATGTCGTGTTGAAGTAGTCGGAAACTGAAGTTCGACAGGGTACTCGAGGATGAAGAGGGCAATTGTTCAATTCGTTGGACCCAGTGCGACCTTGGAAGTGTCCAGTGAAGGGATTCGGGGTTAGATATGAGTGTGACCAAACAGGAAGGGTTGAGTAAACGCTGATAAAGGTCTGGACAAGGTTGGACACGTGTCCTGGCTTCCTGCTGGCACGTGCCGCTGTTTGGAAGCATTTCCAGCACACGCCGGGGTCACGTGTCGTTTGTGTTTGCCTGCTGAATCCCTGGGACGTGATTGAGAGTGATTGCGAAGGAATTTTCGACGAAAATTCTCGATTGATCCTGGTGCGACACGGTGTAATCGAGTTTCACCGGGGCCAGCTTGAACAACCAACTCTCTATCGGTGAACAAAAATTCAGTCTTGGTATAAGCTACTCAGACATCACCTAGAAGCATCGCTGACACCCTCGAGAAGAAGAGCGTAAGATTACCAGCATTTGTGATGGAAATATTTCGACATTCGTCGAGAAATCCTGAAGTGAAGACTACGATCAGCCCAGATCTCCTCGTTTTCTCAACCTGGAAGACACCGAGAGCTGAATCTTTTTGAGTTCTTCTCATACTGTGGATTTTATGGAATAAGGACTGTCGATGAACAATCTCGCGAGTATCATGTGAGGGTTTTTTTTTTTTTTAAATTAGCAAACTTCAGCTAGTCATCAATTCTAGTCATTGTACCAAAGATTTCGCTTGGAAGAAAAGGTTTATTGGAATGATTTGAGTATCGAGGAGGGTTCAAGTGGTTCCTCAAGATGTATTCCATGGATAATCTCGAATTGGACATGATGAATCGTCAGTATATGTACGAGGCTCATAGTTTTCTTGGGAATCCAGCTATTCCAGCTCTACCACCTCACTGTGGAGCACCTACCACTGCCACTCTTCCTTCTATTCCCTCCCAGTTGGCCTCGCATCCTGCTGGGAGCACTGGGAGCACAAGTGGCAGCGAGATTTATCTGTACGACGAGAACAGCAGCGACAATGAGAGTGCTTATAGCAGTGATCAGGAGAATCACACCAGAGAGTGAGTATTTCCTTCAGAGTTCCTCTTTTCGTGGATTTAGAAATGAGAATTGAACGTTTCATTCGAGTTTCAAAGGGTTGGAGGCTGTAGAATATTCCTGGGACAATTTTTACAATTTGGGACAATTTGAGCTGGTGGATTGTGATCATTTTTAACCCTAGTACGGTCTTCGGGTCTTTTTTGACCCATCGCCTTCTTATCTTTTTAATTTGCTTTTGCTGTTATCGAATTTATGTTCCCTTAACATTACGTCGAAAGTTCATTACCTAAGTTCATATGGGGTGCTGGTAACAAAAACTGTTACACCTAAGACCTTTGGGTCAAAAAGGACCCAAAAACCTCAAGTGTATAGTCGAATAAAAGAACGCACTAAGGTTAATTAGTATTGTGCTCGGTGAGAGCTGAATATGTGTGAGGATATTTTAAATAATAAAGCAGGTGCCTAGTATACAATTAACGGTACTAAGTGAACTTAAATTTTGTTTAAACTAACTTGAAGCTTTTCTAAGTTTATTTAACAGCTTTGTCAAGAGCTTGAAAAAATACTGAAAATATTAAGAATATTTTACAGATATGGTAGTACCAAAGTACCAAATAAAATATAAAATGCTCAAAATAATCAATTACACTCCTAACTACTAGAAATATAATTTTACTCCAGTTTGCAGTTTTGCATTAACAAATTTTTGCAACACCTTGAAAATACCGGACTTTATATTGTTAGAATAACATTGTTTTATAACTAAATATTGCAAAGTCCGGAAAAATACATATTCTGAAAATATGATTTCTAAAAGTTTGAACAAGTGTCTAGAATCATAGTAAGTGTCTTAGGGATCATTTCCAAGTACCTCACTGTATTACAGTTAATATTAACGATGCTTGTTTCGTTACAATTACTTCAATTACTGTGAAGCATTCTACAATTCGTGCTGTTGGAGATCGTTATTCCATTCCAAACGGTGCAATAATGATTTCTAGACGAAGTCAGAGTAACAGACGTAACGGGGCGTCTGGAAAGAGTCCAAGACAGGCGGTGCAACAGAGGCAAGCGGCTAACATGAGGGAGAGGAGACGTATGCAGAACATAAACGACGCATTCGAGGGCCTTAGGGCTCACATACCTACTCTCCCGTACGAGAAAAGGCTGTCCAAGGTCGACACGTTAAAATTGGCGATTGGTTACATAAAGTTCCTAAACGAACTGGTCAGAGCTGACAAGGGTAACGATACTCTGACTGGAAATGGCGGACTGTCGAGGTGTTCCGGTCGCGACGACTCTAAGAAAGTTATAATTCGTGGTGAGGCCAATACCAATTGCACGAACGTTTTTTTCTCTTTGAAATTGTGGTGTATAAATAGAGAAATTTGTTTGGTAATTCGCTCGATGAAAAGTGCTTTTCGATATTTTGGGATGCAAATTGGGAAATTTCTTTTCTAGTTGCTTGACGAGTAATTAATTTCAAAACTGTTAAAATTGATTGGATAATTGGAAAATTTCCTTTGCAATCTCTGAAGAAGAAGATTAACCCCTTAACCTATGATTTCTTTTCTGACTATGCATCTAAGCGTCAGCCATTTTCTATTTTAGTACCGTATCCGGTAACGAAAATTAATCTGTCACAAATTAATTACACTTCGCAATCCTCAGTCTTACAAATTCAAACGAAAGTTAGAATTACAATTAATTTTTCCTACTAATATAACGATTTTTCTCACATCTTCACCAGAATCTCTGTCACGAGTCTGACACGTTGTCATATGTTAAGGGGTTAATGAGTAATTAGTTTAGAAGTTACATTACGTTAAATATTTCAGTAATAATTATTCTTTCGTAACATTAATTAAATTAATAATTTCAAAACTTACATCAAACGTTAGAAAATTCACGATTGATGAAATTAACGACTGATTACCACAAAAAATTGCATTAAAAACCAGAGAATTCATTTCGTAATTTGCACAAAGATTGCACAAAAAATTCGACTAATTATGCTGAGAATCTAAGAAATTGTGTGATAAAAGTATTTCAACCCTCTAGGTCCGAGTGGGGCTCCGGAGTTCGTACCAGAAATCCATGATTTTCACATTTTCACGGGTTCCAAACGAATAGCCTCCCAATCTCAATTACAAAGTTGACTATTTTAACCCTGAAAAATATTCTACGACAAGTTTAAAACAAAAATTCGTTAGAATGTATGGAACTCTGGAGTTCCACTGGAATGTTAAGGGTTAAACATGGAGAATATTAACACGGAGAAATGTTAATCACGGCCAATGATAAAATTCCAGGTAGCGAGGGGAACCCTTTCATATTTCACTCTTTGTCCTGGTCCAGGAAGTCGGACATCTCTCCAAACGGGACGATGTACGCGAAAGTATGGACACCGGAAGATCCAAGGACATCGAAAACCGGCTCAACATTCGAGTAAAGTGGTCAGGTTTTAACTGTTAAGTCTGGACAAGCCACTCGTGTTATTTAGTATCTAAGGAGAACTATTTCTAGTCGATCTTCTAATCTTTCTAATTTAAAATTGTACCAAAAAAGTTCTACTAATTGAAAAAAAAAAAGGAAAAATTATATATTCGGTGTCTCTAGTCAATTCCAAAGTGGCGGATGACAGTATTATCGTTGTTAATGGTATTTAATTTAACGTTTAATTCGGAACAAACATTATTAGCCCGTAGCGTAATTTATTTAAAAAAAAAAAAAACATCTAAGTTAGAATTGAAGGAGAAAAATTAGAACAAAAATGTTGAGGTTGAAATTTGTACGTGTATCAATTGTTCTCGGTTTCTTTCTTGGAAGTGCTCAAATATCCGAAAATTCTGTCAACATTTTTCTTTCTTTCCTTTCGGTTCCGACAGAATTGGAGTGAAATACAAAATTCATGTTACGATTGTACATAAAATAACTAAAAAACGAAAATGCGTAAATAGTGTAAGTAGATATCGTTTGTACGTGAAAGTGTGAGCAAGAAAAAAAAAAGGGGGAAGAATAGAATGCCATTGAAGCCAAATAAAGTAGGTTCTTTAAGTTTACACGCCTGGTTTCTTCAATTTCTCCTTTCCATCCTTCATTTTTTATCACTGCTCGAAATTCGTTTCTTCTTGTTCGAGAAGTAGTTCTTTGTAAATGGAGTTTCTTTGGTCAGTTTGTAACTTTGATATTGACGTGAATTTCCTGGTGTCTATAGTTGCTCGGAAAATCAATACATCTTGCCATACAACTTTCTCCAAGCTTAAACTAAAGGTTGTTTATTCGTTTGCACAAGTAACAATGAATTTTCGACCTCTTAATCTGAAAAATTGCCTAAAATTTCAGATATTTCTGAATTTGCAACATTCATTCTTTTTCAAACGAGATTGTTTAAAAAAATTTGCTACACCAAAGTGTTGTAGGGCTTATAACGGAGTGAACTTAGGGAAATTAATATTTCTCGAGGATTCAGGCTATCGAGGACTTCGAAAAATAAAATTTCCATCTTTCTGGCATACGAAGATTCCAGAATTTTCTAAATTTCCTACTTTTCCCCTTTCCAATGAATCCCGATTCCAAAATTACCTTCGTGAAAAATTCTAAACGACTCGGGGTAGGTACAGAAAATTCTTCGAAAATAATACTTCTCCAAGTTTGAAGCACTGAAAAATGTCCAAAATCGTCCATGTTCGAAATTTCAAAAATTCCAAACGCCTCGAAGCGGAATAAACATTCGGAATATTTGTCAAGTCCTGCAGAAGCCAGCCGAAGGTCCGGCACGAGTGTGAGCCGCAACGAAATGGCGGAGGGCTGGAAAAAAGGAAGGCAGAGGGTCGAAGCTGCGCCAAATTCTGCTGTGCAATTCTCCAGGAGAGGGGAGCAGAGCCCTGTAGACACTGTACAGGAAAGGGGAGGTGAATCGTGGGCGGTACGTCGATATTGCGGCGTCGCGACGTCCCGCGACTCGGGAATAATGGCGTCGACGGGTGTGCATCTTCCCACGAACCGATCCTCCGTTCCCTCCGCGTTCTTCCATGCCTCCAGTTTTCCACCTTCGTCCAAAAGTGCCTCCGTGGTTGTTACACTAATGAGCGAAATTCTTTGAAAACTGCAACAACACCGTCTTAATGTCCATACAGAACGTCCACTCATCGATTTTTCCCTTAAAAGCCTGGTTAACAGTGGTGCACAGTCGACACCGCATCGTTCCATGCCACTTTTCCAATCGTGCCTTCAATTATGGAGATATTACGAGCAGAATATGTAATCGAACGTTGTGGAGATAATTGACATTTTCATCGTCTGGGAAAATTATTCTCGAAATTTGTCATTTTTCTGAGATTGTCTCTTCGGAGGTTTGGAGTCTCCTCGAATCAATGGAAGAAATTGGGAAAATTTCGATTCCCTGTTCTATTTCTCCTGTGAATAATTTTTCCAATTTTTCAGATTGTTTCATGGTCTTTCGAGTCAATTTTAGACCTCTGCACAACAAGTTACGAGAATCACATTTGAATACTTTCATACGCCCTAAAAGAGGCAGAGAAAATAAAAATTCCTATATAGCAGACTCCCGTATAACACGGTTAATACGTTAAAGCAGGGGCCGGCAACCTTTTTTACTAGGAGGGCATATTTCAGAAATGCGGGAGTTCGGCGGGCACCTTGGGATGAAGAGGAGGGATGGGTAATATTTAAACATGAAAATATTAATGCAACATAAATTTATTACATAATTTTTTTGAAAAAACATAACTGCTATTCAAATATCTAAAATTTAGAATTTAGACATTTGAACGGCGGGCACTTTAAAATTGCTTCGCGGGCACCGCGTTGTCGACCCCTGATCTAAAGTAACATGTTTGGATTGCCGTGCCAACTTGTATTTTCTATGTTCTATCAAATAGGACAGTTTCTTTTTTAAATAAGTGACGTATTCGCTGTTGGATTAAACAAACATATTACCAATGTACACTACCGACCAAAAGTTTCGAATCACCTCCCACTTCTCGTCAATGTTAAATCTGCTGCTAATTTTTTATAGATTTGAAGTTTATCTCAATTCTACATTTATCAATTTATCTCATATCAATTGATTCCAACTGTTACACTTTCGCCAACTTTCACCATTACTCATACTGGACTCTTCACCTTCCAACTCTCCTGCATAGTCACAAAGTCCATCTTCCCTAAACCCTTAAATAACCCTATTTTCTCCATTTCCGCGTTCATTCTCTGTTTTATGCGCAAATAACGTTCTGTTTCTACGCAACGACGATTCTTAAGTGTTTTAATTCAACGATACCCCAATATCTGCTCCTAGTTTCGAGGAATTGGAGCAAACCGGGCATCACAGAACGATAAAACATTCTCAAAGTCGCTGACTTTCTTCTGGAAATTTTTATGTAAATTGCAATACTCAGTGATTCCAAACTTTTGGCCGGTAGTGCATGTAATAAACAAACAATCAAGAAAAAACAGAAACAATTATAACACAGAAGAAGTCGGTAACGACGGAGAAAACAGTGCAATGCTCAGCTAAAGTAGATTTAATTATTTTTAATTTTTAAACGCGGGGAATTCCTCTATTTTATTATTTAGCGCGTTGCACGAGGAATCGCGTTATATGAAAACAGCAGTCGCGATATCTTTGCCGCGTTATAGGGAGTCTACTCCTATATCACAGTTTATATCATCTCCACTACAATACTACAATAGTTTCCCATTTTTAGGACACAGGAGAAAAATATCCAAAGAAGTTCCAGGTTAAATGAAAAATGAAAAAAAAAAGGGGATTATTCCGCGGTGTTCTTCCAGTGTCGAAATTATGCTGTTTTCACGCAAAGAAAGGATCCATTGAAAGAGCCTTGTCCATCGTGTGGACCCGCAGCAGAACGTGCGCCGGCTATCAGCTGTGAAAACAGCATTGTTTATAGACACTGCGGCACAATGAGGTGTAATTGAATCCATATTCTACCCCGTTGCGCTGGGGCGCCCCTTTCGAGAGCTAGCGGAACGCCCCTGGTGCCCTCCAAGGGGGTGGTTGTACTTAACGGTTCGGAAATCGAGGGTGGTCGTCGATTTGTGGACAATTAGGGACGATACACCGTGTCCCGTGGAACGAATTGTGGCTGTTTCGACTCTTTCTAAACGTCTTCCCATCCTCTCTCTCTCTATTCTTGGTTATCGTCGTTCGCGCGGTACTTTGATAAGTACAGTGGGTGATCGAATTATTAGAGCCGTAAGAAATCGACGGTTTTACATTGTGACGATTAATTTTCAGATGAAAACCTAGTTGTACTGAATTTTTATTACTTTTTTTTATGAAGCGTTGATGTCTACAAATTGCAAATATCTTACCCATAAATGTATGTGCAAAACCTTAATGCAAAAAGTTGAATGGTTCTTTCGAAAGAAATCCCCAAAATTGCTTAAAAGATGGCATTCAAAACCAGAATACCGCCTTGAACCCTTTAACCTACAACAACGTGTCAGACTCGTGGCAGAGATTTTGGTCAAGATGTGAGAAAAATTAATTGTAATCCTAACTTTCGTTTGAATTTGTAAGATCAAGGATTCCTAAATGTAATTAATCTGTAACAGATCAGCTTTTGTTACCTGATACAGTACTGAAACATTAAATGGCTGACGCTTATACACATAGTCAGAAAAGTAATCATACGTTAAGGGGTCAAAGTACCTCAGAATAATCAACCAGTATTTTGAAGTATGAAAAAATACGTAGGTATTATAAAATACACTTTGAAATAATTAACGAGAGTATTGAAGTGTCTCAAAGTACCTGATAAGTATTTTAAGGTATTTCCAGTATCCCGAAGCATCTCTATTATTTCGAAGCATCAAACAAAAAAATCCAAACGACAAATAATATTACTGTACACAGATAGAGGGACTGTTCCCTTATCAGGTGATCAAAAGTGGCTCACACTTATCTCCAATTGACGCAGGTGTGTCCATACACCTGCCCTTATCATCCACCACTTTATGGTGCATCGTTTTTTTATTGTCCTATCGCACAATATTAACTATCACAGTGACATCTCTCCATCAAAATTCGATGTTCCATACGAAACAAAGAAAATCTACGAAAAATGAATTTTCACCGTTTGAAAAAATTTCAACGATTAATCAAATACAATTATATCTGTAATAGATTAAAGAACAATTATTCCAGCGATGAAACATTTTTAGATTGGTTATAATATACATATGTATCTATCTTTAGAGAGATGCAGCGGTTAAGGGGGAAAGGCGTGAAAGTTCAATAGCCCAGGTTGAACCTAATCGGCTCGAACGTCACGGTACCGTGATCCCGTGAAAATTAGCAAACCATAGAATCGCGGCTGCAGCCCCTTTTCGCGTATCAGGGCCGCATTAAGAGCACCCTCTTGTCACGAGGGTCGCACTTGTGCTGATCCTCGCAGCTGGAGTGAC